AATTGCATCTCAATGTAAAGAAAACAAAAATTCACACCACTGGACCAATAAACAACATTCTTATCAATGGAGAGAAGATTGAAGTTGTCAAGGACTTCATTGTTCTTGGATCAACACTCACAGAAGCAGCAGTCAAGAAATCAAATGACGTATTGCATTAGGCAAATCTGCTGCACAAGACCTTTTGAAAGTGTTGAAGTGCAAAGATGTCAGCTTGAGGACTAAGGTGCCCCTGATTCAAGCCATGCTATTTTCAATAACTTCATGTGCATGCAAAAGCTGGACAGTGAATAAGGAAGACCATAGAATTGATGCATTTGAGTTAGGGTGTTGGAGAATTATGAAAAGTGCCATGAGCTTCCAAAAGAACCAACAGATCTATGTTGGAAGAAGTACAGCCAGTGCTCCTTGGAGGCCAGGATGCCCAAACTTCATCTCTCATACTTCGGGCATATTGTCAGGGGGTAGCAGTCGCTGGAGAAGGATATCATGTTTGGTAAGGTGGAGTCAGAGAAAAAGAGAAAGACTCCCAGTGAGATGGACTGACAAAGTGGAAGCATCAGTGGTCTCGAGCATGGCAACAATTGTGAGGTTGGCCCAGGACCGGGCAGTGTTTCATTCTGTTATGCATAGGGTCACTATGAGTCAGTACTGACTAGATGGCACCTTACAGCAACAAAGTTCCTGGTATTTAATAAACTTTGCTGGCCAATAAAATGGTCACTTAGTTCCCACCTTAGTCTGTCATAAAGCTCAATGTAGTGTGGTGTGATCTGGTGCTCAGTAATGGTGGGCAGACTTGGGTGGAGAGATGTCAAAGGGATTTCCCAAGGGGGTAATATGGATCAGGCTAGGAAAAGGAGCTCTGGTAGCATAGTGGTTATATTCGAGCTGCGAACCGCAAAGTCAGCAGTTCTAAACTACCAGCTGTTCCATGGGAGAAAGATTTACCACCTCAAAAACCCTGTACAGGGTCACTATGAGTCAGAACTGACTCCATAGCACACAGCCAGCTAGCCAGGAAAAGGAAGGTAGACAAGGCTGGGGGTAAAAAATGGGTAAGACATTGGGGGAAGATACAGAAACAGGTGAGCTATGGGGAGAACATAGGGCAACAGGCTGGCAGGCACCAAACTTCCCATCTCCCCAGACTAGCCACAGTCCATAGACCTGGTCTAGCTTTCACTTAACAGCAGTCAATTCCAATGGCACCCTGAGATTAAAGAGTTCTGTAATGGGGACAAATGGGGCTCAATGCTGGAGCATACCTAGATTTTCCCCCTTTATAGGCAATAAATTAAAGCACAGAAAATTTGAGGAATCTCCCTAGTAACAAGGTGAATTGTTTCGAGGATTCTGCCCAAGAACCTGACTTCTTAATGTTAGTACTGATACAGTGGCCTGGCATGGTTTCCAACTGGGCAAAGGAGTAAAAGGCTAAAGCACATTTTCTGAACATCTTTTAGACGCCAAAACGTCCAGGGTATTGGGAAGACTGAAGTGATGGCCCCAGCCCCCTGCACATGGTGAGGTCTCAGTCCAGGGCTTGAGCTAGTAAAGCAAAGCAATATTGGAATGAGAAGGAGATCCCACCGTCACCATCTCTTGCTCACCTTAGAAGTCTGTTAACTTTCTGGTATTTACCAGGTCCTAGGTGTGGCGCTGTGGGTTAATGCGCCAGACTGCAAAGTTGGCAGTTGAAGCTCAACAGCCGCTCCTTGGAAACCCTGTAAGAGTCGCTATGGGTCGGAACTGACTTGACGGCACTTAATAACAACAACAACAAAAATTAAGTGTGGCTCTGTAGAATAAACTAACCTTGAGGGACTGCTAACCTCAAGGTAGGACTCCTCAGAAACACTACTATACAGGGTCCCTGAGTCGAAACAGACTCAACTGCACTTAACTTCCCAGCAAACCTTGCTACGGGGTGGCTATATCCACTTCCACCACTTTCTCAGCTTCTGCCATGTGGTGTCCCTCATATGGACTCAAGTGTGCCCAAGTTGGAGCCTGCCTCAGTTATGGACTTAGGGACTAGGTGTCTGCTCATTTGTAAAGAGAATTTAGTGCTTAGCAGATTCCTGGTATGGCTCTGTAGGATAAGCAGTGGACTGCTAGCCACAAGGTGGCAGTTTAAACCCACCAGCTGCTCCTTGCACCTACACAGGGTCACTATGAACTAGAACTTAACAGTGTTACCTATCTCAGGTTTTTGTGGGATTAAATCGGCAGATGTACCATGTTCCTGATGCCTGTAAACAATTACCTGGCTTACTTAGAACTTATTGGAGCACTTGGCCATGTCTTCTCATTTCTTCCACATGGAGGAAGCACCATTTTGGGCCTCTCTGTCCCTTATTATCCATCCAAAGGGGGTGATGTGCCTAAACTACTTTGTAAGGAAAAACTACGTAAACACAGCCCAGCCCACTTCCTGGGGCTCCTCTAAGCCAGGAGCCTCACAGATCCTGTGCTGCCAAAGGTGGGTGGTCCTCTCAGAGTACAAAGCTATGTACATTTGCAGTTGCTTTTTCAGCAACGAAGGGAAATTTTCCTTCCTCAACTAAGTTCAGAAATCAGGTCAGGGAAAGCCCTCAGACTGAACAGTACTCAAGGGCACAGTGGTGGCCCCATAAAGGTCTGGTTCCACTGCCACCTAGCGACACAGGTTAGCCAAGGTTACCAAGTCAATGCTATGCCCAGAGTGCCAACAGTTCTATGCCTTCATCCTGCGGTTTTTCCTCTAGGATATGCCTTTCCTGTTTAAGATCCTCCCAGGCAGTCCCTTGTCTCTCTTGGATGACACCTTTCAACTGCCTCTATACACAATGATGCACCAAACTCAGTACAAAGCCTTTTGCTCCCCATCTATGTAGTTCCTGAAATTCTCATCTTCCTTGCCACCACTGCCCCCTCACCTCCAAGCTGGATTTTACCAGGTATCTCAAAGAAATCTTTCATCACGAGTTCAAAGGAACTCAATTCACCCTTGTCACCCAGAAGACGTTGTGTCTGAATTTTATGTGTTGAATTGTTCCAACTCAGTGACCCTGTATAGGATTTCCAAGGAGCACCTGGTAGGTTTGAACCATTGGCCTTACAGTTAGCAGTCCAGTGTTTATCCTATAGTACCACACCAAGACTCCAAATTTCATATAGACTGAACAATTTTAATTGTATGCCTCAGGCATTGTATGGGACAAAAACTGTTCAATGAAAATTAAAAGTTAAACTGGGTATCCTGTACTTTTTACCTGATGAATCTGGCCAACCCTTTTATCCCTCCCCTTCCTCCAGGTTCACACCAAGGCATATACAGGCACCCTCTGGACCACTGCAGCTGCTCCAAGTGTCCACCAACCCTCTGTAGCCTCCCCACACCCCCAGCAGCCTTCATCTCACCCAATGTCTATATTCACACAGGATGTCCACACACACCCTGTGGCTGCCTGGCCACTCAAGTGCACCCGCTCACCTTCCACCTGGAACGCCTCTGCTCCTACCCTAGTGTGGTTACTTCCAGCTTGTCCTTCAACTCTGGGCTCAGGTGACAATTCCTGAGGCCTTCACTGACCAACCTAACTAAACAACTCTCCATACCTGCCTTATCCTCACTCCTGAGAGGGACAATAAACATTACTGTTACATAAACTATTTTATTTAAATAAAACCAGAAGCAGATCTTCGTTCCCACAACCACACACCCACACATGCATGCGCACACGCACACCCATGTCCTAGCCCCCTTTCATCCCTCCAATCAATGGTCACTCAAACCTGTAGTCATCATTATGACCATTCTCCCTCATCCAGAGGGCAAGGAGACCCTCCAGGTGGAGAACAGGACAAGTTGACACACTCTCCTGTGCAGAGTCCGCTCTCAACCCTCCTGGGGTTGGCTTTCCCAAGGCACCCTCATTATGGTCTGGCTTCTCCCTCCCTGCAGCCTGGGAGCAGCACAAGGCATCTGGGGCTAGCTAAGGAGGGCCAGGGAAACTGTACTGCAGGCAGACTCCTCCCGGCATCTGGGAGGAAACTGGGCAGTCATGCTTGAACACTCCCCAAGGAACCTTGGAGTCCTAGAGGAGAATTTGTTTTGTTTGGAGATGAGCCAGAGAGCAATTGAGCACCAAATTCCCTAATCCCGCCCTGCAAAAGGGTGCTGAAATTCAGTTCAGCAGCCCCTACCTAGAAAAGGTAAACTTCACTCCCCAGCAAGGGGTGAAGGCCGGGAATGGCAGAGGTCTCCATCACCAGGATCTCATTACATCTTCATGTCCCTCCCCAACACGGATCCAGGAGACCCAATAGCACCTTGGCAATCTGAAGGAACCCAGTCTAGCTGAAGAAACGCCATGAGCATGGAGAGTCACCGTGACTCTGATAATAGGGCTGGGTTTCCTCCTCCCTGATGCTGTCACCCTGTGAACCCTGCCTCGGGGCTCATCGACCAGAGCCACTAGTCATGAGGGGCAGCTTCCAGAGAGGAGCACAGTCAGTCTTACAGGTTATGCTGTGAGCAGTCTGGGAAGACACAGGGGCAGGGTTTCCAACAGGACTCAGTAGTGTCATCAGGGACAACTCAGGCAGGATGAGGGGACCAGTGTGAAGGGTGCTTGTCTGTCCATTCAGGTTGGGGGCAGCAAGGGCAGGGTTCAGCCCCATCCCATCCCCTTGTTTCATGAGCTTCACTGTGCCTTCTAAACCAAGTTCCCTGATTCAGGAAAGCCAGAATAGAGGGAGGGTTCAGACAGAAGAGGCAAGTGAAGGTACTGGACAGAGAGGAACAGCAGGGGTCAGCCAAGAATGAGCCTTCTGGGGATAAGGCAAGGTGAGAGCTGCCACCCGGATAGGGAGCTGTGAGGAAGCCACAAGAGACACAGTACTCCAGCCAGACACCGCCAGTATCTCAAAGGGAAGCACTGGAGAAGGTGACCTGGGGGAGGGTGGCCCCAGCAGAGGACCCCCTGAGTGGGACAGTGATCTGAGGATGTCAACTATAAGCTAACACTGCGCTGGTGGCGGCCCCCTCGGGTCCCACCATCACTCCCCCTCCGCTCCCCACTCCTGGGCCCCAGCTCCTGGTCATCCAGGCTGGCATGGTCCGAGAGGCCCCGCAGGTGCTCCACTGAGTCACACTTCTGCAGGTCTGAGGCCACGGTGCGCAAGCTTAGCAGGCTCAGCGTGTCCGTGTCGGGGGCAGGACCAAGCCCCAAGCTGCCCCCATCCTCCAGCACCCCACCCTCAGCCCCTTCAATCCCACTGTCCCCATCTTCAGCCTCAGGTCCAGCCTCCGCTCCCACAGGTGAGGATCGACGTGGGCCTGGTGGGTGGGGGGGCAGACCCCTGCGCCGGGCATGAATCTGCTCGCTGATCTGTTCCAGGTTCCGCAGGGCAACTGAGTAACGGGTCTTGGCCTGGGCCACTTGCTGCTCCAGCTCAGTCACCTTGGCTTTGTGTTCCTGTAGAGGGCAGGACACAGCAAAGTGACCCTTGAAGCTACCCAGGTCCTGTCAGCCCCACTCAGCACTTGGGGCTGAGATGTTAACATACCTCCTCTTCCAGCACCAATCTGACCCCCAATGCCCCCCACCACAGTTGCCCTCAGCACTCACTACAAAGTTCTCAAGCTCCTCACTGCCCACTTCCATCAGCCACTAGGATAAACAGAATCTATCAATAGCTACCATGTTCCTCACCTGACCTCATCCTTCCCGGCTTCAGGTGCCTTCCTCCCAGGGCCCCATCCCCACCTCCTGCTGCTCCTCACTACAGAAGTCTTCATTATCAGAGTATGGGGTGAAAAATTAACTTCACCTAAAGAATTAAGCCTTTGTCTCCAGTATCTTGGAAGTAACCTTTAAACCCTAGGATTCCCCACAAGGTACCCTCATTCACACAAGACTCCCCACCACACCTAAATATGCTGACAGGATGACTGAGGATAGAAGAATGTTTTCAGCAGGAACCCCAAGCAGGGGGTTAGGGGAGGAGACTGAGTTTAAACTCTGCCTACAAGTCAATCAATCATACCGAAGACTCCAGACACTGAGGCTCAGCGGAGCTTTCCTGGTTGACAATGTGACGACGGGAGGGTGATGTCCTGACTCATGGGAAAGGACTTAAAAGCCTCACAGACCTTGCCTTACGTGTCTCTCCTTTGGGGTGGTCTAACTGTAATTGTAGCTATTGTGCTTTCCTGAGTTCTGAGAGTCATTCTAATGAATTAGCAAAACCCACTAGCTTCTTCCAGGGAAGTATTTGCTCCCATAAAGACTCAGAAACCTTAAGGATCAGTTCTACTCTGTCCTATGTTGTTGTTAAGTGCCATTGAGTCAGTTCTGACCCACAGCGACCCAGTATAGGGTTTCCAAGGAGCAGCTGGTGAGCTTGAACTACCAACCTTGCAGTTCAAATGGCTTTGCAGTCTGGTGCATTAACCCACAGCGCCTAAAGGGTTACAATAATCAGAACTGATTAAATGGCAATGGGGTGGGGTGGGGTGGAGTGGGAAGGAGCAAGGGGATCCACAAATTTGAAGCCAGTTGGTCAGAAGTGAAGGTGGCCCTGGGGACCCTAAGCTTGTGGTGACATCTGAAGTTCTGGGCAGACTTAAGGACTGTGGTGTACAATCTGACCTAGCTCTGGGTCTTCAGGGCCAGAATTGATGTTGCAATAAGTGTCTATCCAGCATTGTTTCTTCTTTCCCGGGGCCCGTTTCACTCTTGCTTACCGCCCTTCTTCATGCATTCTCTGCCACCACCATACCCCTAGACCCGTCTTCCAATCCAGCACTGTCACACTGAGCACAGACATCACCACTAGTCCCCACCACAAACCTTACAGCACACCACATCCCACCAGGATGGCGGTCCCACCAGAAAAGCAGACGGTCAGCTACCCTCCACCTTGCCTCACTTTCCCTTCCTGCTCTCTTGGTTGCCCATACTCCCTTCTCTCCCCACTCAGCTACCTCCAGGATCTGGCTGAACTGGGCCTTGAGCTCAAAATAGGGGCGGCTCTTGCCAATGGCCCGTCGGAGGGTCTTCTGCAGGGCCTGAACCCGAGCCTCAGCCTGTTGGCACAGCCTGGTCACTCGCTGGTGCTCCCGCTCGCCACGCAGTCGCTCCTCCTCTGCTTCATTTACCTTTAGGTGGAATGGGGGAAGAAAGGGAATACACATCAGTAAGCTCAGCCCAATTCAGATCCCCCTGCCTTCGTCCAACCTACCCATTCAAACACTCCTTAAGGGGGACTCTAACCAGGAACACCCTCCTTGAGCCACTTTCTGTTGCACAGCCCAGAGAGCAAACTGAGTTCTGGAGACACTCGAGGGGACAGTGGATTTATTCCATCTCGTGGATCTGTGGCCCAACTTCCAGGCCTTTAGTGCCTGCATCTCAGTTTTACCTCTTACCCTGTGTTCCTGTGCAAGGTCTCAGTGCTCCTGCCTACCTTCATGAGTCTACGATTCTACAATCAGCTTGGCTGTTTGTTTTCAAGAAGGAACCCAGGGCTTTCCCATGCACCCATGAACACTCTGGAAATATGCAAGCATATCTACGGCAGTCGTCATCCTAGGGAGGCCCTCAGTGCCAGGGGTTCATGTCGCAGGAAGATGGAGGAGACCCTCTGTGGTGAGCCACAGCTTTCTATGTGGGGTTCTCCAGGTTCCCACACCTCGAATGTGCAGTCTAGAGCCACATCTAACCAGAAAGCAGGCAAAGACTCCCACTGTCCCATCACACACAGTCAGGACCAGTGGACCTACCCATGTCATATCCCCAGCAGACCAGCACCTGGAGCTATAGCCCTGCACCTTCTCCCCAGGAGATCCCAGGAGAAACAGTATCTAAAATAGACTAAAAACCAACGTCCACAGCAAATCTCACACTCAGTGGAGAAAGACTGAGAGCCTTATTATGATCAAGAACAAGACAAGGCTCTTCTTCTTTCTGCCCTCTTTTCTTTCTGCCTTCTCTCTTCTTCCTCTTCTCTTTTGCCTCCTGCCTTCTCTCTCCGGCAGAGGTCACCTTCCTCACCCTGAATAAAAGTCTCTAGACAGGAAAAAAAAAAACAAGACAAGGATGCCTACTCTAATCACTGCCATTCAATATTGTGCGTAGGCTAGAAAAATAAAGTAAAAAATAGTAAATGAATGAATAGGAAAATGAATGTAATGTAAAAGAATAAGTGAGGGAGTGAATGAATGAATGGTATCCAAATCAGGAAGGAGGAAGTAAAACTATCCCTTTCTACAAGTGACATGATCCCAGAGATTCTATGAGAAGTTATTACATGATTGATGATCACAAGTTGATGATCTGATAAGATTAAGAAATGTGATACAGGAAGCAGGGGAAAATTGCTAGAATTTGATTAACTTGACATTTACTTAGGATGTTGTTTTTAGTTAGGTGCCATTGAGTCGGTGCTGACTCATAGTGACCCCATGCACAACAGAATGAAACACTGGCCGGTGGCAACCTCACAATTGTTGCCATGCCTGAGCCCATTGATGCTGCCACTTTGCCAATCCATCTCACTAAGGGTTCTCCTCTTTTTCTCATGTTTGGTAAGGTGGACTCTCCACCTTACCAAACATGATATCCTCCAGCGACTGGTCTCTCCTGACAATATGTCCAAAGTATGAGAGACAAAGTTTGGCCATCCTGGCTTCCAAGGGCACTCTGGCTGTACTTCTTCCAACACAGATCTGTTTGTTCTTTTGAAAGCCCACGGCACTTTCAATATTCTCATCCAACACCATAACACAAAAGCATCAATTCTTCTATGGTCTTCCTTATTCATTATACAGCTTTCGCATGCATATGAGATTACTGAAAATACCAAGCTTTGAGTCAGGTGCACCTTAAGTCCTCAAGCTGACATCTTTGCTCTTCAACACTTTCAAAAGGTCTTGCTTAATGCAATACGTCATTTGAGTTCTTGACTGCTGCTTCCATGAGTGCTAATAGTTGTTCCAAGAAGAATGAAGTGCTGTTGTCAAGGACTTATGGATGTAGTAGCTCAAAATACCAACCGAGAGAGGAGGAGTCTTTCCATCAAAGATCAAGCCTATCCCCTCAGTACACAGGGTTGATACGGATGGGCAATTTAGACACTATCTAAAATGGGGGAGGGGGGAGGCTATAAAGACATGAAGTGGCTGGCTTACAAGTTTTCAAGAGAGAGTTCACTTTCACAGCAAGGGAGGGAAGGTGGAATCCCCACAGAATAGTTTTCACCTTGTCTAGATGAGAATGGTGAAAAGAGAAGGGGATAGGATTTTTTTGGATCTAATATTGAGTAACTGCTATCATGACTAATTGCGACTGTTACAACTGTAAAGGTAGAAGTTATATAACAAAAAAGAGGGAGTAGTTAATCTTGCATAACAGGAACAGAGGACTCTAGGGCCATCAAGAGGGAAGAACAGGAACATACCGTGATATCCTAACCAGAGAAGAAGTGACAACAAAGACAGAGACCCTGTAAAGGGTTTCCAAGGAACAGCTAGTATGTTTGAACTGCCAACCTTGCGGTTCAAATTGACTTTGTGGTCCAGTGCATTATCCTGCAGTGCCATACTAGGACTCCCTTCAATAAATGGTGTTGGGGAAAATGGATTTCTACATATAGAAGAATGAATCAGGATCCATGCTTTACACCATACACAAAATCAGTTCAAAATGGACCAAGTGTGGAAACTAAAATAATAAAATTCTTAGAAGAATTATAGGAGGGGAGACATGAGACCAACTGTATAAAACTTAGGCAGTCAAAGACAAAATAGATAAATGGAACCTCATAAAAATTAAATACTTTTGTGTATCAAAAGATTTTTTCAACAAAGATAACTTACAGATTGGAAGAAAATTCTCAGTATTCATGTATCAAATAAATTGGAACATGGAATGTACAAAGTATGAATCTGGGAAAATTGGAAGTTGTCAAAAATGAAATGGAACGCATAAACATCGTTAACTTAGGCATTAGTGAGCTGAAATGGACTGGTATTAACCATTTTGAATCTGACAACCACACAGTTTACTATGCAGGAAATGACAAATTGAGGAGGAATTGTGTTGCATTCATTGTCAAAAAGAAAATTACGATCAGTCATGAGGTACAACACTGTTTGTGAAAGGATCATAACCACGCGCCTACAGGGAAGCCCAGTTAATACCACTATTATTCAAATTTATGCACCAAACACTAAAAGCAGTGAGGATGAAATAGAAGAATTCTACCAACTTCTTTAATCTGAAATTGATCAAGCATGCAATCAAGATGTATAGATCATTACTGGTAATTGGAATGCAAAGGTTGGGAGCAAAGAAGAAGGATCAATAGCTGGAAAATATGGCCTTGGTGATAGAAATAATGCTGGAGATCGCATGATAGAATTCTGCAAAATCAATGATTTGTACCTTCTTTAGACAGCATTAAGAGACAACTATACACATGGACCTCGCCAGATGGAATACACAGAAATCAAATTGACTACATCTGTGGAAAGAGATGATGGAAAAGCACCATATCATCAGTCAAAAACAAGGCCAGGGACATACTGTGGGACAGACCTTCAATTACTCATATGCAAATTCAAACTGAAGCTGAAGAAAAATGAATACAAATCCACGAGAGCCAAAATGACTTTGAATATATCCCACCTGAATTTAGAGATCTGAAGAACAGATATGATACATTAAACACTAAAGACCGAAGACCAGAAGAGTTCTGGGATGACATCAAGAACATCATACATGAAGAAAGCAAAAAGTCATTAAGAAGACAAGAAAGAAGGAAAAGGTCAAAATGGATGTCAGAAGAGACACTGAAACTTGCTTTCCAGCGTAGAGATGCTAAAGCAAATGGAAGACATGAGGAGGTCCAAGAGCTGAACAGAAAACTTCAAAGATCAGCTCAAGAAGATAAAGCCAAATATTACAACAAAATGTGCAAAGAATAAATAAAAGATTTTGCCAGAGACAGAATCAAAGTTGAGGGAAGGCTGGAGTACAAGAACAAGAAAGAAAAAGGAATGCGGAAAAGGAAGCAAATGAGTTAGAGGAACAGCTGAAAGACACCTGGGGGCTCCTTAGAGGCCAAGATGACCAAACTTCGTCTCTCATACTTTAAACATATTGTCAAGAGGGAGCAGTCGCTGGAAAAGGATATCATGTTTGGTAAGGTGGAGTGTCAGAGGAAAAGATGAAGACCCCCAATGAGATGTATTGGCCAAGTGGCAGCATCAATGGACTCAAGCGTGGCAACAATAGTGAGGTTGGCCCAGGATCGGGCAGTGTTTCGTTCTGCTGTGCATATTGTCTCTGTGGGTCAGTACCAACTCAATGGCACCTAACAACAACAACAACAACAATGCTTTATTGACTATGCATAGGCTTTCTATTGTGTGGATCATAAGAATCTATGGACTACATTGTGGAGAATGAGTATTCAGGAACATTTAACTGTGTTCTGTACATAGACCAAGAGACAATTGTTTGAAAAGAACAAGGGAATAATAAATGATTTTAAATTAGCAAAGCTGTGTGCCAGGGTTGTATTGTTTCACCATGCTTATTCAATCTGTATGCTGAGGAAATCTCTCGAGAAGCTGAAATATATAAAAATGAATGTGGCATAAGGACTGGAGGAAGCCTCATTAACAACCTGTGATATGCAGATGATACAACCTTGCTTGCTGAAAGTGAAGAGGACTCATTATGAAGATAAAAGACCACAGCCTTCGTATGCATTGCACCTCAACATACGGAAAACAAAAGTCCTCACTACTGGACCAATAAACAGCATCAAGATAAATGGAGAAGGGGAATGTGGAGCTCAGGGTAGGGAATAGAGAGAGGATACATTGGGTGTTGTTGGGGGTGGGGGCAATACACAAGAAGGTGGAGGGAACTGAAAAACAAGGCAGATGGGAGAACAGTTAAGCAGGTTTGCATGGGCTACGTGGGGCAGAGGTAAATAATGATGTATGCA